CATGTACATATAATGCGCTTTAGTAAAAATTATTAGCCTCTTTTTTTTCAATAATGAAATGTACCATTCCTAAAAAGTCTTTGAGTAACAAAGGAGAATTTTGCAGAACTTTTGATAATGAATACTTATGTTCTTCCTCTCATCATACATCCTAAAATATAGCGTAGCTTTAATATTTCACATTTAAATGAGTTATATCTTTAATTTTTAAAAAATTAATATATAAAAACAAATCTATAAATTCTGCTGTAATTCCAATGTGAGAGCAAGTTTAAATTGCTCTCATATTAGGTGTTCTTATGCACAGATTCTTTAATATTAATGTAATTTTTTTTTCAACCTTCTCCTCAAAGGTTTTTATTCCCTGCTCCACTTTCAATGGCAGTTTGATCTCTTTTACAATGAATAATGCTTACTTTAGTAATATCTTTATACACATGTACAAATAAAAAAAAATGTTAAGTTATAATTTTCCTATACTGAAAATGTATTTCTGATAAGTGCTCCCTCCACTCACAAGATTCCCCTTTCCTGTTTTGTGCTGCCCTCTATATACAATCTTTTTTATAATGCATGCCACAAGCCTTCTGCACCATCCTATTGGAATCAAAGATTCCAACATGTCTCTCGTGCAAATCATTATGCGTCATCTTTCAAGATATAGGAGAGCACTACTATCACGTGATGCATGTGACTACCTCTAAGCACCACTACTGAACCATCACTTCTACGTTTTAGCAGTAGACATAAGCACCAGAAGATTGTGGGGAGGAGGGTGGGAAGTGTGAGAAGAGGGAAGCACCTATCGGAAATACATTTTCAGTATAGGAAAATTACAAATTCCTATATCATACTTCCCTCTGCTTACAAGATTTGCTAAAATCCCACACTGAAAAGGAGGAGGGATTGGTGCAAGGGAAGAATAGATATATCCCCAAAAGTGACTGAAGGATAATTCTGTAGATGAGAGAAACAGATCAAATGATCTGACAAGGGACACAGCACCACTTCTGAACCAGGTATCTCCTCACCATGAACAACTAGGAACAAACATGGCAGAAAAAGAAGGGAGCACATCTACGTGGGAGAATATAAGTCAGGAAAGTTATCCCGACCAAATAAGCATTTTAACTCAATCCCACAGAAATGAGTAATGGAGAATGTGTTCCACGATGTAGAACGGCTACAGCATGGTGGACCATACTCGGTAAGTCAACTACATCCAAAACCTCCTTGCTGGGTACCAACATCTGCAGGAGCATAGGATGAGGATCGTACCAGCTTCACCTCAAACCCCAAAATCGTGAATGTGAGGAAAACACCGACTCCAGTGCATGACACAGGATTAGTATTGAGCCAGGCATCTGGGAATGTGTCATCCAGTAGCCAACGGAAGTCCATCACATGCAATCAACTCCCACAACCGTGAGACTGGTCCAAAACATCCAAAGGTCAATAACATCCCCATCACAAGAGAGAACGAGGGAGTACCAGGACAGAAACAGAAACATCCCACATATACTCTCCATGACCCACTACACAGAAGGAAAAAATGAGGGAAGATGATGGACAACCCCAAACCTGTGTGAGGACTTAAGTTGATTGGTTCACTCGATATCCAAAACCAGCCTGCAGGGTACCTACATCCGCACAAGGGTAGGATGAGAGCACCAAATTGAGGGGGTGAACTGCATTTAGACATCTCACTCCATGATATGTGTCACTCAATCCAGAGGATTTTATGCCTTCTACATTGGCAGAATACCACTGCCATACTCTGAACTGAATGGTTATAGCCATCTGTGTAGAAACCATCCAGCAGGATGCCTCCATGGTCAACCACCCCAGTGGCTTGGAACTGGCAAATGATAATTGATAAGGACTCCCATACTTCACTGGAAGAAAGGGGGGGAGTGCATTGGGGAGTCCAGAGGAAGGGGTACACCTAGGACAATGCAATGGGTGATCACGAAACCCTATTTGGAAAAGCAGACCCTACCAATTTATTCAATTGAGGCATGGCAGGAATAAGCAGCTATCCCCTTCTGCTTTACTCATGCCGTCCATGGATGGTATGGTTCGGAACAGGCCTATTTATGAAGCAAATATTACAAGGTCATTGACCATAGAGTGATATTGTGAAATGCCCCATCTCGAAGGTGAGCATGCTGAGCAATGGAAAGAGCACTCGAATCAACACGGCATACAGTGCAGATTTGTTTGTGTATGTAAAGAACAACATTCGCCACAGAGCGGGATCCAAGAGACAAAATTCAAAGCAAGGGCTCCTGAAAGAAAAGAAAGCATTATATGACACTTAGCTAGTGTCATAGCCCCACCAAAGTCTGAAGTGTAGCCACAGGTGGTAGGCAATACCTTGAGAAAGCAGGAACTGCGACCTGATTTAAGTTATGGGAGATGAACATCCATGTGCCCGACTGCAGAATCTCCTCCAAAGATCAACGAATATGAGAAGCAAGAGAAAATGTGAGGTGTCAGATTTGATGGGAGATAAGAAGGAACAAAGTATGTTGGGAATGGAACAAGGAGGAATAAGCCAACTATATTAAATGACGAACCTAATTGGTAAGGGTAAAGGAGAAAGATCCTGAGAGGAAGAAAGTTTCCATGCGATAAAGAGACTGAAACAGGAACTCCTGAAGGAAGCCATGTAGGCAATATAACAACAAATGGCATGCACTGGGCATAGAAGTCTATCCAGATCAGGATGAGAGTAGGGAGCAGAAATAAAGGGAAATGGGCAAAAAGGAGGAATTACCCTCGTGAGCCGTCAAATCCTTCGGAAGGAAGGAATTATCCAAATAAAGGAGAAGATAGTTTTGGTGGTACAGTGTGCGAGTAATGTTGATAGCAAATAGATCCGACCAACGTCTCTCGCAGGCCAAGAGGAGAAGGAAATACGACTTAAGGATAGGTGAAACAAAGAGCATGAGGCAATGGGTTCAAATGAAGGTAAAGTAATGTAATGGAGTACCATGTTAATGTCCAATCTGGAAGTCCTGGATGCCTAGGCAGCTGACAGATCCAGAAAGAACAGATCAAAATGGTGAGAACAGGGGAAAGAAAAAACCCTGTGGTAAGGGATAAAACGGAAGGTATAGATAGGGCTGCCCGATATCAAGGAGACCAAACACCCCCTCTCAAAAAGTCACCTAGGAAACTCAGAGGTACCAGCAACTGTAAGATGAGAAGCTGATATACCCTGAGCCAGGGCCCATGTACAAAAAACATACTACTTCTGCTGATATGCAGCCATGGATGAAGGACAAATGAATAAGTTAAATGAGATGCCACCCAGCATGAGAAACCAGATTTCTCAGCCAGAGACTGGACAAGAACCAGGCGTGAAGATGGAAGACATGAAGTGCAGGATGCAGAATCAGTGACTGGGGTTGACGAAAAAAGTTGGGGAATAAAGCAAGGGGTACAGGAGGGAACAACTGTAGCTGGAGTAACTGAGGAAACCATGGTTGAGCATGCCAGTAAGGAGCAATCAGAAGGACTTTATACAGAGTGGTATGGATGAGGGAGACTTCCCAATGAAGTAATTGGATAGGAGGATAAACATAAAGGAACTTGTTTAACCAATCCTGGCTGAAAGTATCTATAGCCAAAGCCCAAGGATGGGAAATCAGGGACCAAAACAAAGGTACCTTATGATTGAGGGTGGTGGTAAATGCACTGATATGAGAAATACCTCACTGATCGCAAAGCCAGCAAAAAACAAGGAGATAAAGGGATTACTCCGTCAAGTAAACCAGGTCAGATCGGGAAAGACAATCTGCAACAAGGTTGAAAGCACCAAGTACATGACATGCCATCAAACAAATGTGATGATCGGGGGCCCAAAAGAGAATATCCAATGTTAGAAAATACAGGGATCTTGACCAGGTGCCACCTTGGTGATTGATATGAGCCACAACTTTTGAATTGTCAGAATGGATCATGACCAGACGATTCTGGAGATGGGAAGAAAGTCCAACGAACAACAAGGAGTTTGGGGACGTTGATACGAAGAGAAAGTTCCCAGACAGATAAATGACCAAAAGCCTCCTGGTGATCGACCCATGCACCCCAGCCCTGAAGGGATGCATCCATGAACAGATGTAAATCTGGCTGCAGAGAAGAAAGCAGGACACCCACCAATGTATGAGCCTTATCCAACCACCATGGAAGATTGTCCACAATGTAGGAAGGAAGGATTATAAGAGTATCCAAGTGATCCCGAGCAAGGTTCCATTGGTTATGGAGAACCCATTGAAGGGATCACATGTGAGCTCAGCCAAAAGGGTATAAGAGGAGTCATAGAAGACCACATCCCCAGAAGCAATAGAACCTCTTGAGCAGAAAGTGAAGGAGCACACGGGGCATTCCAAATGGCCAGATCCATAGAACAGAACCAGAGAGAAGAAGGTTGGGACCAACTGTTATTTTTGTTGAAGAAAACACCCAGATGAATGAGGTACTGGGTAGGATGAAGGAAGGACTTCTCCAATTTCATCAACCAGCCAATCCAAGCAGCTTTGAGAAGGAGCTGACAAGTGTGACAGGCCAACTCCCGAATGGAATGAGCAAGAAAAAGCCAGTCATCCGTGTAAAACTGAAAGTGCAACACCAGGGCATAAAGATGTAGAGCGAAGGTTTACACCACCTGACAGAAAACTTATGGCACCAAAGTCAGCCTAAAGTGTAAGCCTCAAAATTGTTATACCACCCCACAATGGACAAACCGAAGGTAAGGACAAGAATGCTCTGATATGAGAATATGCAGATAAGCATTGGAGAGGGCAGCACAAAATGTTAAAAGCTAATCTTGTGAGAAAGGGAAGTATCATATCAGAACTCATGATTTAAATTATCATATAAGATACTTTTAGGCAGGAACAATAAAAATTAATACACTTTATAATACACCTTCTTGGTAAATTAAGTTCCTGTGTGTACTTAATTTTTCTGTTACTGTTTACATTATCACTTACCTCTATAATTTTGCTTCTTTAAGAAAACATCCATTAAAATGTTGTAGCAGTAGTAGTCTGGAAATATCCCATAGTTGATTCTATCATTCAATATTTTCAGAAGACTGTCATAGTGACCAAATTGTAAAAATGCTCTTATAACAGCACAAGGTGTAGATTCTAACATATGCAGTGTATTGGGTGTTCGACGAAACCTATAAAACAAAAACAATAAAGAAGTTTACCACCGTAAAACAATTTTTTTTACAAGTCGAGAAATATTAAATATATTAAGTTACTGAAAATAAAAAGATTATTAAACAACTTTAGTATACTTATTTCACAACCATATGAAAGATGAGACACTGAGATGTAAACTTCCAGAAAGTATAGTATTAATACAAATAATCCAGGGCAAGTTTTTAATAAGTGGCAAACTAAGACATTCAATATACTTTGCTGTTACAAATAAATGGAGGATTAATCAAATCTAAAAGGCTACTTTAGGCCACTAATCAAAAGTGAAACAGACTCCAGAAATACCCTTCAAGAAAAAGAGTAGCTAACTAACACATATACAGAGGTAAATAAAATGCAGTTTTGCCCACTTACATATTTCCATTTTTATTTCTTATTATCATCAATATTAATGAATGTAAGCATACATTAACTCTTCTGTCACAGTCACTTTAACATACCTGATCTAATTCAAGTTTTTAAAATATTAATGCTTAATTACATTTTAAACTGAAGTCTAAATTGATTTCCATAGATTATTCTCATACAGCAAAATAAGGTAACTACATAGCTGAAAACAACAAACCTTATTTTGTAAGTTTAGCTCAGTGCCTTACTTTCAAGAAAAGTGGTGATTTTGAGGTTGGAAGAAAAATTAAACTGCAAGGGGGTCTGAGGGTACTCCCCCAGTAATGGTTACAAGAAGCAAAGCACACAAGACCCTCAAAATATACACTTAGTATTATCAAATATCATTCTCTTTCTTCTTTAAGATTGAAAGATTTATACTCATTAGTTTTTTAAGTACTTATACTAGTTTATTTGGATGTACTGAATTACAAGAGCTATTTTTTTCTAGCTGAAAATGTTTAACGTATTTTTGCAAATGTGATTATATATTAGACAATTAAGCATACCAGAAATCCTTTACTTTGAGGCTCTTAGTTTTAAGACCTCTAAATGAGCCTTCATTTCTATATGGTGTTCAAAAGCATTTAACCATAATGAGTACAGTTTTAATATCTAATTATCTGAGGAACTGCCCAGTCTTTCCATTTACAGTCTGTTCTATTAACTCCCATTCCTTATAATTTTAATATCTTTAACATCTTAACTCATGACCAAAAACATGTCATGTTGTTTTTCCAACTTCTTGCACAGTTGAATAACATATTTCATGGATGTTAATCTGTACAGGATATTGGTAACAACCAATGAAAGGCCAGCTTGCATATCTGTAACTAATACAATAAAATTTAACTGGAGACAGTAAGATAACTTCCAGATCAACTAGAAAAATTTCAGAACATAAGGTAATATTTGCTGTGGGTTTACATGTTTCCCAAAATCAATGTTAGACAAGGGAAAAATGTAGATTTCTGGTACTAAAATAAATTACAGCAAGTAGTTCCAGCTTACTCCACTTGGTGCCAGTTGCCCAATTATAAAAACTTCCTTTTTTATGTTTGTAGGTATGAATAAATATATCATTCCATTTCATTATCCGTGAATTATCTGAACTAGCTTAATGTACAATAGTTTGTATATACATATTTCATAGTATAGAGGTTATAAGTCATAACCACCATTCTGACATAAAATTATATCATACTGAACACATTAAAGGGATAACATTGTTCATGAATAATTACACAACGAGCAAAATTGGGTGGGTGAACAAAAGTTCTAAATCATAATGATTATCTTTTTAATTCTTTCAGCATGGGCTCGGTTCCTGGGACTGACCTTGTAACCATTTTGTGCTTGTTATAGTTTTCATGATATAAATTTTAAATTAGTAAGCAAATGTTAATGAAATTTGGCAGTAGGCATTACAATGCTTTCATATGCAAAATATTACATTTTTTTTATCAAGTCTTAAGGTATTTAAAGCAATGTTTTTCTCATGCGTTTTTTTCTTTTCACATGTTACCTATCTAACATGCAAAGTAATTTTCATTTTAAGATTAAAAATACTTTTATGCTTCAGAAAATTTTCAAACTTCACATGCACAATTTTTATAATGTCCAGATAGTTATCAAATGTTTCTTAAGAAAAACTTTATATTTTATCTGTTATTTTCAGTAACGAATCTCTGTATGGGTTTGATAGATTTGACTGATCTCGTAACCACCATAAAAAATTAGGAAACATATATACAGATTATGCCTCTTTCATTCTAGAATGACAACAAATTATAACATAAAACATATGTTTAGACTAAATAGCTTAAATCTTATAACATTATACATATTTATTACTTTTATTAAAATGACCTTTCAGCCATGCCTGGCTAACAATACAGAAGTTACAATGACACTGCACACGTGCTCTTATGTTATCTATCCAATAGTATAAAACTGACCTTTAGTCTTTATAAATTGATCTGTTTTGGCTGTGTTTTAGTATACTAGTATTTTGTAAAATACAGTCAAATTTCAATTATTATACATTATATATGCATATAAATTACTGCTATTTAGAAATAAGTTCTTAAACTTATTTTTCTTAAAATATAGAACAGTAAACAAAGAAGTAAAGCAAACAAATATCTCTTCTAGTTACAGCCTTTGTACTCGGTTGCTGCTTGACGTAGGTTGCCAAGGCTTTAAAAAATTTGTACGTGGAGGATATGATACAAAATATTTTTTTGGGTTTTATATATACATTTGAATAACTAAAAAATCACAAATTACAACATCAATAACATAGAATTCCATCATAATATATCAAGCTTAGTAATTAAGCTGTAATTCAGTCTAAAAAATATGAAACTTCGAGCAGACTAAAGACAACTTACCTCCTTGAAATCTTGGTTCGAAAGAGAGAAGGATGGCATCAAAACATGTTAAAATGGCTGAGAAAGCCACTAGGGGGGCATTCCAAGCTTTTGATTGGTTATTCATGTCATATATAGAAGTAAGTGTATATAAGGGAGCATTTCCAAAAATGGAAAGAGGTGGGTGGGGTGCCACTGTGTTTGATATATTACATGAGTTATATCTTAGCAAATAGAAAAGATAAGAGGTTTTTATTTTAAATTCTAGCTTGTCAATATCGATAATTTGAAAAATTAGTTTCATACAAAACTAAAGACTTAGTATTTTGACATCACAAACATCGAATTTGAACAAGTGCTGCATTCAGCATACCACGTAACACACAAAAATCTATGTTTAACTGTGTTTTTATAATATTTACTTTTAAATTAAGAAATTGAGTAATGTATAATACTAAGATTTGGATTATAATCTACAGTTTGATACCAAATGTATTGACATAAATTCATGAAATAGTGGTTCAATAAAATTTTGAATACGAGTCAACAGATGCGATGAAAGGGTTAAAGAAAAAAACTATGAACACTACTACTAAATCCATGGACAGCTTAGTCAGACTGGTGCTTCTTAGTGTTATTTTTTTTGTGCAAGCAAAAAACAGATTTTCATTATGAAAGGATTGTGTTTGATGTTGTATTTTTTTAGTAAATAGAAGAAAAATAAAGTATTTTAATTTCTTCTTACCTACCTACTGATATGTCATAAATATCAAATCTTTCAGTGATAAATACGTCTTACCGTATTATACTGCAGTGCATATTATATATGTGCTTGAGACAAACTTACTGGTATTTCCATATGTAAGGAGACTGTGGCTACAAAGATACATGATAAATGCTTTTTGAAAAATTCCATATACTTGAGCGATCTCCTTAAACTATTAGATTGGCTTAATATAAAACTTTTTGTTATACATTTTTTACTGAAAATGAACAAGTAAAGAATTTGATAGTGTTTTCATATAGAATCACAACCAAATATTAGTATTTATTGAATAACTATAATAGTTAATTTTTTTCAAGTTTAAGAATTTGGCTCAGTCTAGAAATGCATTTATCTCAACAAGAATTTATTATAAGACATACAACAGTTGATCAAATATTACTTCTTTTTCCAAGTCTTTGAATTTAGCACTAAGATTCATGGACAGATGTTACAGAAGTTAACATTTTCTAACACTAAAAATGTATTTCCAATAGGTTACTTACCTCCTGATTTCACCCATAACTATCTTGACCATCATTTACTCTCTAGGCATTGGTAAACTTTTTAAAAGTGCACAAGTCTTTTACGCCCCTATATTTGTTTGTGTCATTGCAACAACATGTGCTGATCATGTGACCACCCTCCACCAATCCCATTGTACCCTCTATACTAGCAGCATATACAAACCCAAACAAAAGCAGCAAAACAGTGGTGAGGATGGATGGGAGGAGGTAAGTATCTATCAGAAATACATTTTCAGTGAAAGCACAAAAACAAATCATCAAGCGGAGAGCGACTGCTATGAAAAAAAGTAGGTGTGCCACAACTAAAATACGAGGCACACCTTTGAGGTATAGCACTACTTCTGGAACAGGTATGCTCTTCACCCAGTAAAGAAGATAAGACACTCAGGGTGGAAACAAATATAATACGTGGCTTGGGCTAGAGGAATGTATATGAATAGGCCAAGTGAGGTATGCCTGGGCAGAAAACATCCACAGGAAGTGCCTTGCAATACAACTTATTTATGTTAAGTGCAGTCCAAAGACAAAAACAACATGAAAGTACCTTGAGTAAGTTTGTAAAATCAACAAGTGTGGTCCATCTGGGCAGAAAAAATCCAGAGGAAGCATCTTCCATAACAGATTTCATGCCATATTGTGTGTATAATATGCAGCATAACAATGATAGATAAAATCAACAAGTGCAGTCCATCTGGGCAAAAACATTCAGGGGAAGTACCTTGGAATGTTATCAAGATAGCCAAGTGAGGTCCACCCAGGGGAAGCCCCTTGGTATACATTGGATTATGTCAAGTGCAGTCCATCTGAGCAAAAAACATCCTGTGAAAGTACCTTGCATAATAGATTTCATGCCATATTATGTTAATAACATGGGTGTTTGAGGGTTGTATGTGTCCGAGAAATTAGTT